TAACACCAAGAACGATGGTAGCAGCCTCACTGCCATCAAGAACGCTGGTAGTAGCCTCAGTAACACCAAGAACGATGGTAGTAGCCTCAGTAACACCAAGAACGATGGTAGTAGCCTCAGTAACACCAAGAACGATGGTAGTAGCCTCAGTAACACCAAGAACGATGGTAGTAGCCTCAGTAACACCAAGAACGATGGTAGTAGCCTCACTACCACCAAGAACGCTGGTAGTAGCCTCAGTAACACCAAGAACGATGGTAGTAGCCTCACTACCACCAAGAACGATGGTAGTAGCCTCACTACCACCAAGAACGATGGTAGTAGCCTCAGTAACACCAAGAACGATGGTAGTAGCCTCAGTAACACCAAGAACGATGGTAGTAGCCTCTGTAACACCAAGAACGATGGTAGTAGCCTCAGTAACACCAAGAACGATGGTAGTAGCCTCAGTAACACCAAGAACGATGGTAGTAGCCTCACTACCACCAAGAACGCTGGTAGTAGCCTCAGTAACACCAAGAACGATGGTAGTAGCCTCAGTAACACCAAGAACGATGGTAGTAGCCTCAGTAACACCAAGAACGATGGTAGTAGCCTCACTACCACCAAGAACGCTGGTAGTAGCCTCAATAACACCAAGAACGATGGTAGTAGCCTCACTACCACCAAGAACGCTGGTAGTAGCCTCAGTAACACCAAGAACGATGGTAGTAGCCTCAGTAACACCAAGAACGATGGTAGTAGCCTCAATAACACCAAGAACGATGGTAGTAGCCTCAGTAACACCAAGAACGATGGTAGTAGCCTCAGCAACACCAAGAACGCTGGTAACAACCTCAGCAACACCAAGAACGCTGGTAACAACCTCAGCAACACCAAGAACGCTGGTAACAACCTCAGCAACACCAAGAACGCTGGTAACAACCTCAGCAACACCAAGAACGCTGGTAACAACCTCAGCAACACCAAGAACGCTGGTAACAACCTCAGCAACACCAAGAACGCTGGTAACAACCTCAGCAACACCAAGAACGCTGGTAACAACCTCAGTAACACCAAGAACGCTGGTAACAACCTCAGCAACACCAAGAACGCTGGTAACAACCTCAGCAACACCAAGAAGGTGCAGTTAACATCACCTATAAGTCACAGAAGATAATAATCATTAATCACCGTTGCTTTATGACCTGAAGCTAAAGAAATATTAATTTCTTGTGTTTCTGGCGGACTGAAATATTTCAGCTGGAAGACGTAATCTGGAAGATTTTGAATGACCTGACGTCAACTTCAGCTTATTGCAGTCATTCCCATGTACTTCTGTTTTGGTATCCATCTATGCCTGTTTTTGCTAAATGGCCACATTTTCCTTGGCCACAACTGATAAAGTATTTTAGTATTTTTTAAATATAAGTTGGGTTATTTGGCCTCGCATGCTTCTCGTAAGAAGGCAGCGGGAAGACTGTTTACCTCGTGAGGACGTGGCTAGGAGACACTCGTTCTTGTGAGAAAGCAGCGGGAAGAACTTCCTTGTGAGAACCCTCTCAGGCAACACAGAGAACTCTCTCAGGCAACAATGAGAACACTCTCAGGCAACAGACAGAACCCTCTCGGGCACCACAGAAAATGCTCTCAGGCAACACAGAAAACACTCAGGCAACACAGAAATTCCGTGAACACATGCTATATACTGCGGCCATGTGCACACGGCCATGGGCGAGGCGTGTTTACCAGAGACAAACACTCGCTCAGCACCTCAAACTCGCCTGAGCACCGATATCATGAACACTGCTTCATATCTACATAACTTACTGAACTCTCCAGTCACAAAGAATACAGTGTTAACACATGCACACACACACACGAAGCATCGAGGTCAATATATCTGGCTAATGTTATGGTCGATACTTAGAGTTTGGACACCGTTACCAACACCAGAACATAGATTAAGAATACACACTTTTCATCCCTCGTCATTAGCAACACAACTCTACATTTGGTTCGTTCCATGTTTTCCAATCCCATTGTGTTTGTCTCCCTTTGTATTTCTTTGTTTTCTTTGCGGTTTTTTTCATGACGAAAGGTCACGTCTTTAATTGCTTCTTCTCTTTATTTAATGTCTGTGTCTACTAGTATTTTCCTTGCTTTAAATTAACAGATAGACAAAAATTTGGAAAATATTATGAGTTGTACCCACAATGCACAGCATGCTAGTGGCTTCCATTTGTGCTAAACTATATTTCATTACACGTAAACAACATTCTGTATACTGCAGAAAGAAAGAAATCTTGTTTGTTGTTTGCTCTTGATTCAGACTGCTCCACAGAGAAACAAAACGAAACAAAATACTAAAACTTTCACAATATTTGCTCAGGAAATTTCTCATTTAGTAAGGTGGGCTGCGAGTGCCTTGGGTGGTAGAGAAAGCATCTAATTATTATTATACTCATAACTAAGCGCTAAACCCATAAGAAAGAGAGAGCATCTAAGTATCCCACAACGT